ACTGAAGCTGGAGGCTTTTCTTTACTCAGACTGCTTCTGGCTACTGAGGCAGACAAACCCAAGGTTGACAAGTAAAAAGGTACAGTGACAATGTTACCAAACAACATGTCAGGCCACTAATTAAAATCCAGATGTAGTCCCAAGATTGGCAGAGCATGGCAGGCTATTGAACAATAACTTGGCTACATGCAGAATTAAAGAGTGCTATAAGTTAGAGACCATTCCTAAAGGTGCTGCTTATATACAGAAGCAGACCACATCCCTAAGCAGCTACTCCGCTGCTTGTGGCAGATCCCACCATGGAGTTGATTGCCAGTGTCATCATAGGGAATAACTACAACCAGCTTCCCAGCCACTCAATCAGGCCCAGCCAAGTTGACACACAACCTTAACTACCACAGGTTCCTTCGAGTCTTCTCTGACTCATAGCGACCTTATGTACAGCAGAACGAAACACTGACTGGTCCTATGCCAGTCTCATGATCCTTGCTAAACCTGAGCCCATCATTGTAGCCACTTTGTCAATCCACCACGTGGATGGTCTTCCCCTTCTTCATTGACCTTCCACTCCTTCCCCATAGAATGGTCCCTTCTGACAACATAACCAAAGTAGGTGAGACCAAGTCTGGTCATTCTCATTTCCAAGGAGCATTCTGGCTGCACTTCTTCCAGGACATATTTGTTGGTTCTTTTAGCAGTCTATGGTACTTTCAGGAGTCTTCACCAACACAACAACTAAAAAGCATCAACACTTCTTCAGTCATTCTTATTCATTGTCCAGCTCTCACATGCATATGAGGCGATTGAAAATACCATGGCTTGGGTTAGGCACACCTTAGTCTTCAAGGAGACATCTTTGTTCTTCAGCACTTGAAAGAGGTCTTTTGCAGAAGATTTGCCCAATGCAATGCATCTGATGTCTTGACTAATGCTTGCATTGGTGTTGATTGTAGAACTAAGTAATGTGTCCAATTGTGAGGATTTTCGTTTTCTTTATATTGATGTGTAAGCCATACTGCAGACTTTAGTCTTCAGTCTTCATCAGTAAGTGGTTCAAGTCATCCTCAATTTCAGAAAGCAAAGTTGTGTTGTCAAAATATCGCAAGTTGTTAATGATTCTTCCTCCAATTCTGATTGCACGTTCTTCTTCATATAATCCAGCTTCTCAGATTATTTTCTCAGCATGTAGATTGAATAAGTATGGTGTAAGGATGCAGCATCCCTGACACACTCCCTTCCTGATTTTAAACCATGCAGTATCCCCTTGTTCTGTTCGAAAAACAGTCTCCTGGTCTGTTAACTGTTCTGGAATTCCCATTCTTCTCAAGGTTATCCATAATTTGTTATGATCCACACAGTCAAATGCTTTTTCATAGTCAATAAAATACAAGTAAACATCTTTCTGGTATTCTTTGCTTTCAGCCAAAATCCATCTGACATCAGCAATTATGTCCCTCATTCCATGTCCTCTTCTGAATCCAGCTTGAATTTCTGGGAGTTCTCTGTCAATATACTGCTGCAACCATTTTTTAATTATCTTCAGTAAGATTTTACTTGTGAAAACAAATGTGATGAACATATATTTTTCCAGCCTCACACTAATTTCCCTTTCTGGAAATAACACCTAAATTATCCTTTTAGGAACACTCCTCCCCAGTCTCCATCCTAGGATTACTAGGAGTTGATCCCTTCTCCCCACCCCTGCCCAAGGGGGAGGATGTGACTCAAATCTGGCCAATAAGATCATTCCATGTCCCTGGTTTCAGTGATTGATAGAAAAGCACATGTCTCAAGCTAAGTTACCAACACATAATGCCAGGACTTTGATTTGACCTACACTTCTCTCCCCCTGACCACTTCCACTCCTGCCATTCAGAGTTGAGAGTGAAGAGCTGCAGTAGTTTAGTGTAACTGAAACAGAGGGACAAGGAGAGATAAGGGGGACATGAGCCCTTTCACTCTCTCCTGCCAACTCTTACTCATCATCCACATCTGAGTCAGCTGTCTATCTCCTGGGCTTTCCTAAATCTCTAAGCCTCTCACCAGTGCTCCCTCAGCCATCCAGTACAGCTCCCACCACACTGTGATAGTGTATGATTCTGTTTGCTTCTGCTTCCCCTTCTGCCACACAAGGACAAGAGTCTAGAAAATCCTGTCTTATCATCTCTTTATACTCAACATTTATCCCAGTACCTAGCACATACAGTCTAAATAGATGAGTTAATATGTCATATTGTGATAAGGCATTTGAGGAAAACAAAATAATGGGAGCATGAAAAGGGATGTATGTGCTATTTTATACAGAATGAGTCAGGGAACACATCACTGAGAATATATTGAGCAGAGATTGTAAGGAAGCAAGACTTGTAGATGTTTGGGTAAAAACAGTTTAGAGAGAGGGAAGAGCAGGTGCAAAGTTCCTGAGATAGAAGTGCTTGGCTTGAGGGAGTAATAGCAGTAACCCAGGGTGGCTGGTACAAAGCAAGAGAGAGAGAAATGGATAAATGAGGTCAGAAAACAAGCTATAGAGGGCCATTTGGTTTTTACTGGAACTGAGCTGGAAAGCTGTTGGAGGTCTTTGAGCAGAAGTGTAGCATGAAACAACTTAATTTTTCATAAAAATCTTTAGGAAGATATACACAAAATGGATTGTAGAGTGGCAAGTGTAAAAGCAAGAAGATCAATTAGGCAACTGTAATAAACCTGGTGAAAGATAATCTTTATTAGCACATATACATAATAGGTGCTTGGTAAGTTTTTTGTTGAATAAATGACTGAATAAATGAATAGCATATCTACAGAGACATCAGACTGTTGGGAAAGAAGGAGAACAAAGCAGGAGGGGCAGGAGAGTCCTACAGGCTTCCCCAGCCTTTAAGGGTACAGGTTATGTTGAAGTAACCAATAAACAATCATCCTCAAGTGATGCCGTATAGCACAGGCATAAGACTTTGCCTTAAGTTGGTCAAGTCAATAGCCTATTGAGAGTTCACCTTCTAATAATGGCAAATTAACTGGTGGGATATGCTAAGCATTAGGACAGCAAAGAACCACTGAAAAGTCCCCACTTGCAGCCCTATGGTGCCCAGGATCAAGGCACATGGACACTGTCTCATCAACTTCTCTTTACAAATGTCACCTGAAATTATAGAGCTAGACTTAGGAAAGAGATCTGGATGGATAAATAGTTTTCAAGAGTCACCACATGGATTTTGGGAATATTTTGTACATCTCATCTTATTTGATCAGTTGCTCCACATTCACCAGCACCATGTCTTGATACAGGAATGAGGAAAATAGAGTTAGTCAGAAGCTCTGTTTAATGTGGATGAGGGGAGAACTGGAACTAGAAGGCAGCTTTCTCTTTTCATCAATGTCCTTAGCCCAGACCATACCCTGTGCTGCTCCTTTGGTTGTATTATGTGCACTTTAAGCTTTGTGGTCATTATCACACCAGGTGCAGGAAACTGATACAAGTGAGAATCAACCACATCACTGCAAGATTTCATGAAAAACAACCAACCAAGAAAAATAAGAGAATTGTCTCATACCGGAGCTCTTCAGGCTCTTACAAAATAATGTGAGTTAACAAAGAACATTTTATAAAAGTGAAGAGCCAAAGACACACAAAGCGGTGTGGGGAAAAGGATGCCTGTGACAGAGCTTCCAATTGGCTTTAAAATAATTTCTTCTGGAATGATAGCAATGTGCTACTGTGTTTTGCTCATTTATTTGTTCCACTTAGATCCAGTGGAGAATATTGTTTGTAAAATAATGTGGCATTTTTCCTTGTTTGGATCTGCCTCTGATAAGTAGGAACAAAAATTCACTGCAGCTTATGAATATTCAATAGTTTCTATAAAGAGAGCAAATTATTTAATATTTACTTCCTTTCTTTCTTCCTCCCTCCTTTCATTTCTCTCTTCCCTCTGTGTTTTTCTTCCTTCCATCCTTCCTTCTTTCCATTACTATGTCCAGAACACAGTGGTAAATACTAGGGATCAAATAAAATTCTGGAGTAGCTTCTGTCCTGAAAAGACTTTGTTGTTGTTGTTATGTGCCGTCAAGTTGGACCCAACTCATAGTGACCCCTCCTTGGGTTTCCGAGGCAGTATCACTACGGAAGTAGATTGCCCCATCTTCCTTCCGAGGA